CATCTCCTCGGCAGTGAGCTCATAACGCTTTATCGGTGTCTTCTTGGGAACTCGGCTGCCTCGAACCATCGTATCATCGGTGTTTCGACCGTCCTCAAGCTGGCGCATGAGCTTGTAATTAGGAAAGCCTTTATTTCTAAAGGCTTTGTACTTTGGATTCCCCTGATGAACAAATTTCATCAGTGCATATAGCAGATGAGACGATGATCTGGAAACATTACTTACTTGAGTTTTTATATTGAACCAAGCTTCTGAACCAGTTACCATCTTCATCTCATCATCCCAACCAGCGCCACTTGATTCTTTAAGGCTCATAAAGATCTTGAATGAATTACGTTGCTAACAAAATCCTGATCAATCACCTGACTCGATCATAAAAAAATCTATCAATCAGGTACGTACAGATTGATAATGGTTCTTGAGTGCTTGCATCATGTAATTCTCATGATAACGCTTGTTGAAATCTTCAACAATCGTGGTCCATGCTTCTTTTTTGAAAGTATTCTCCACTCGCAAACCGTTGGTGGCTTGCTCCAAAAGGCTTCGTAACAAGAACTCACTACGACCATTCCCAAAATGCGCTGGACTTTTAACACCTTCCGCAGACATCACGTTGACTAATGAAAAGCAAGAGGTGGCCGAAGTCCAGAAATCGAAGGTCAGGAAAACGAGATGAGGGAAATGGTGGATCCGAGAAATCAGTAGGTGAGGTGCGAGGTTGAGGTTGAAGTTCGAAAGAAAAGTCGTACTTAGCAAAATTTGAAGAAAAAGGACGTCTTGATCCTGCCGAGGGTCGAAATCGAAGGGTTGCACTGGTGTTAAAATGCGATATCGTATTTTGAAAGCTGCTCAAGGGCAGCTTTCAAAATGCGAGGTTTTGGAAGGAAATAATAGATTATTGGCTGCAAAATGCATTTGTAAAAAAGGGGCGAAATTGATAACAAACATGATTTTTTGAAAATGCGAAAAACGCATTATTTTTAAAAAATAATGCATTTCGCCCCGCTTTTGTAAGCCATGCCAAACGGGGCCTAAATATCTTGTATCACGGCGTTCTCGCCGTTCGTATTGTATTCTCTTATTTCCTTATTTATGTTTTGCTCAAAGATGCTCGTCTATATAAAGACTCCGCATCTCCCCAGTAATCTAAACACCAAGTTACTTCCTGCTCATAATTCGCACCCTAACATTGTGAGTAGAATCACAGTACGTGTACGAAAGTGGTGGCTCAAAAAGCGATTTCTGAAAAACCGCGCTAAGTGAACGCGCTCTAAGTGTAAAAACGTAACACTAAATTTTTAAGCTTTTAGCCCTGAACTCACACCATCCTTCACTTGAAGACACCCAACTCAGCAGTAGCTTCGAGACGATACCCTCTGAGTCCTCCTCAAGCTCATTCGAATTTAAATATGCCCATTTTATGGAAGGTGCAGCGTATGTACGAGTCTCAATCATACGAGTGATCGAACAACCAACACGTGTTCGATTGGAGGCTCACATTCAGAAGATTTCAGGCTCAAGTCACCAACTACGATGTTCGGACGGACATAGATCCAAAATGACACTTCCAACATACATGTACCTTGATGTTTATCGCTTTGCGACGATATCTCCTTGGCTGTACCTACATCCATCCACCCAATTGATAATGACAGAAAAATACCAGGCTCTTGAACTAAAATATGTGTTCAGTCGGATGAAACGATTTACTGCAGTCTTGCACCCGAAGGATTGTACTAACCTGATGAAATAACAGGTGCACTTACACCGTAGCAAGATAGGGAGCAGAGTAAATTTTTCCCCAAAGTCCAACTGGACGTATGCTGGTACACAGCATGTGGGTATTAATAATACCAAGACTAGCTGGAAAATACATCTTCGTACCTACGTTCAGATACCATTACCTGATACGACACACAAGAATGGCGGCAAAAGATTCGATTTCCGTGTCGCCTGTTGAAGCCAAAGTAACTCCAACCCGGCCAATGATCTCTTGGGAGGTCTACCAAAATTTGTTGGTTTCTTGCACGGCGAGCCTCAGATTATTATAGTACATTTCCTTCAGAAAACATCCTCTTTGGGGATTGTCCATGGGTTTCTCCCTATAGCCCAGGCTTATATGGACTGGAGTCTTTGAACACACGTACAAAATATTGAATGCTACTTCTGTTTTCTTGTCCTCGGTCTTCTCATGAGAAAGTTGTACGAAGAAAACAAAACGTGAATAGAACAGCCATTTCTCATCGAATTCCTACAGCCACTGAAGTTAATGTGAAACAACTAAACAATTCAAAAAGGGATCACCCTTCAGAGATGTGGATAATCTTAGGGTTGAGTCATCATTATCATCAGATATTGCATTTTTGACTATCGACGTGGCAGCACTCGGATTTGCAGCTCGAGACTAAAGAGTCAGAGACATGACCTGAGTAAATTCGAACTGAACATCGGTTAAAACAGTCTTCCTATCCGAAGTGATCGTAAACCATGATCGTTGAAGAATTTTTGAATTGAAGTACACTTGTTTACAAAGAACAACATTAAAAGCAATCGAGATACATATCAAAATTTGTTGGGTCCGAATAACACATCTAGTCTCTAATGCTTTCATTAATTAGTATTAGAGGCTGTACTGATGTGGTAAAAGCAATTGATAGATATCTGAAGGTGATTTTACAAATTGATCGGAATATTGTAGAAAGCATTCACATTTCACTTTAAGCATAATGATAATGTTACATTTCAAAAAGCTGATCAGCTTGCGATCAGCATGGGATGGGGTATTTAAACCTTCTCTTCGGCCAAGGCGACACTTCATTACCCTACCATCTCGAACTGATTGATTCTTTTCAAATCTCGAACAACTTCACCCTTATCTTTTCACCTTCTTGTCTTTTAATCAATCCATTTTCTCATCATGAATCCTTCACTACTCTACCATAAGCTCTTTGAAATACTCTTGATTTACGTTTTACCAACCATTCTACTATTCGTCATCGTCCACTTGCTTTTCTCAAAGAAATTTCGACTAGTAGCAATCATTGGTGTTATGATCTTAGCTTTCTTACCTTCAGAAGTGACTTTTATAATCTGTCTATTTCTTCTCGTCTTTTCTATCCTTGCAGGATTCTTAGCTTTCTGTTTCTTCGCCAACGAAATCATCAACTTCGATAGAGACCTTGACGAATTTCCCCCTTCTTCTATCCCCATTATCATTGTTACTCCTCCTACTGAATCTCATTTTACAAATTTACCTCCTCGATATTTCCAACAAAATGCGGTCTTCCTTATGGTCATTCCTAGATCTATCCTCAAAAAAAGAAACAAATCTAGATTTCGTTCTCCCAAAGGTATGTCCTCGCTTTCTATTCTTGTCTTTCATTTTTGTTTTTGCTTATACTCGATGATTTGATTACAGGACGTCGGGGATCGAAATGAATGGCTTTTCTTCTCAAAATTCTACATACTCTCTTTCATGAACTGTTCTTCTTTGGATATTTTCTTGAATGATTTTAGATATTGATTCGTGTTTGCTATAGAATGAAAATTTGTTTATTATTTATCATCTATAAGGCTCGTACTAAAATGGCGTGCCAATGAGACTCATTGCTTGGAATAATAACTTTTGGGTTTTCTCCTCGATCTTCACAAAGTTGATTTTGACAAAGTGAGATCATATCATAAATACATCCTCCCAATCCTCGTAATTAGTTGCTTTGTGGTATATATGAGTTTTGAATAAAAGAGAACATGGGCATCATCACTTGAGATAGCTTGTGGGTTCTTTCCAGATCTTCACAAAGTTGATCTTTGAAAAGTGGGTAGTAGTAAACGTGTCCCAAGACCCTGTAAGTTTGTGGTACCCATCAAGTACAGACCTTCCATCCGTAGTGATCTTGCAAGCAACACTGCGCCTGTTGAGCACTCTCTTGATTAAAATGAAGGTGATTCTAAACGACTATTACAAGTTTTCGTCTAGATGAGAAAAACTGATTTACGATGCACGAGTTGATCAGTCACTATCGTTGTACAAAGAATGGGTGGATTCTTGAAAGGGACTTCACAATCCAATCAGATCATGGTGGAAATTCAATTACGTTTCCCGAAAAATTGTGTTCAACTTATTACATTCTAAGCTGAAGTGATTGCGATCAGTTTATATGGGGTCATCTAACCTTCCCTCAGTGTAAGAGTCTGCTTGTCATTTAACCACCTTCGCCCCCTCAAAATTCCTTAGTATTTATATACCTTCATCATAAAAGATTATGTACTGTGGTAAATTTGAGTAAAACAAACCTGGATAATCGGAGGAGATCAAGGAGAAAAGTTTGTAATGGGACTTGAGATGGAATTGAATATCAAGGCATACGGACTGGAACAAGTTTGAATGCGTCTATTTGGGAGTCTTTCGAATGATGAAGAGATGCTCAGTGCTTCATTTGAGTTTGAAAATATATGGAAAAATTTTTACCAGTGAATCTATTTCAAGTGACGAAGCTCAGTACATGCCTGGCCGAGAAGCAGTCAATGCAGCACCGATAGTAGAAATCATGAGCTATGGCATGCTATGAGTCACATCAATAAGCCAAATATCGAACCAATAACGACACAATATGGATATACCGTTCAACTCAGCCAACTCCGAAGTCGGTTTATCAAATGCTATCAGATCATGGGTGAAAGCTTGCGCTGCAGAAAATCGACCATTCAATATTTGGCTCAATAGACCAAGACTTGTTCAAGTGTGTGCTTGACTTGCATTTTATTCATTTCATGATGCATTCAGAACATTGTTGCAAGCTGCATAGAAACAAGTGGTGATATTTGACAACTTAGTAAGGTATTAGGTGCGGGAGAAGATACACCAAAGTTGAATATTCACAATAAGAAGAATGAGACTGTGCATGTATCGGTGAAGGCTTTGAAAGTCCTTTGATGTTATCGGATAATTTGTCAGATAAGTATGATGATTGATAGCTGTCAAGCAGGGCAATACATATATCGATACGGAGCGCCCTTACGCTTCACCGAGGTTCAAACTCAGAGAGGCATCAATTTTTTGATCAATGCGAACATATGAAATTGAATATCAGGCAACCAATGAAGATCTTGAAGAGAATAGATTAGGAGGACAAGGTTCAAATCAAGTGTAAAGATGTGTGAGAATTTATCAGTTAGGAAGTCGAGATTTGATGTTCTGCATCGGTAAAGAAGAAAGATGGATATTTTGTCTGACTATTTATATCAGAAATGATCTGATATTAGCTGAGATCGAACGCATTAAACAAGCAACAGGAAGAACATACACATGTGAATAGATCAAGATGTCGTTGTTTCAAGTTTTTGATTAACCTAAGACTTACTGTACTGCTTACTTTGTAGATATCGGATTTGTTGAGAACTTGAGCATAGAGGACTTGACTCTTGTGCGAGATGTTATCGTGAATCATCAAGATGTGGTCAATTTTGGTTTGTATCAATCATTGAGCATACAAGGTCTATGAATAATAGATCAACCAATTATTGTTGAACAATGGCCTGGCGCCGACAGAAAAGAAAAAAGTTCTTCAATCATAGTAAGACTTACAAAATTTCAGCCCGTCTCATTTTTTTACAAAGATCAGCGGCCCTAGTAGCAGCTTGTACTGATCAAGAGTTTGATGTTGAAAGCATCCCATATTTCATCCACATCCTTCTTATCTAGCCGTCTCCAATTATTGGGACTGTCGATTGTTGTTGTATAAAGATTCAAAACTGAGAGTTTGGGCCATGGATATGTACACAAAATATGCTTCACCATGTCCCATCGATCGCTGTTCATTATACGCTTATAGTCAATCGATTCGATATTCTTGCAGCCTTTAAAGCTTGTAAGGGAGAAACCTGGGACCCCTAGAATGAGTTGTTTAAGAGCGGGGAGGTCAGTCAGAATATCGACATCTGATTCTTCTGGCCGATAGTCAAACTGTAACCTGAGTCTAGTAAGACAGGGTGCAGACCCGCTGAGGAGGTTGTGCACCATTACAGGTGTTAACCCGCGACGACAGTAGATTTCAAGCGATGTAAGCTGTCGAGGCCAAGAGTTCAAGTTCCAAGTTTGATCTTTGCAAGTGACATCTTCGAGACGTAATTTGCGAAGGTTCTGCAGCTGGGCCAGGTTCCATCCCAAAGATTCTTCTATTGATGATTTTTCAACAAATTGGAAGCGGCGGAGTTCCAATGCTACAAGAGACGGTAGCTCTTTGAGAACATCAATCACAAATTCGCCTGGAAGATGTAAGCCCCAGTGAAGGTTCCACAGATCCAAATGTTGAAGTTGAGGGATAAGTCCAAAGAGACCTATCAAGCGGGATTTCATGGGAGAAGACAATTGTGAGAGATATGACTTCTCTCGAATGTCCATTGATACCGACTCTAGACGAGGACAGGCATTGAAGATCTTTTGAATGTTCATCAGTCCAATCCCGCATCTTAAATAGAGCGTCAAGTCTTCTAAGGTTTCGGGTATCACTTGGTTATCGTAAGTACTTCTTCTGAACTCTCCTCCAAAGGCATTGTCGATAAGCAACAAATCTTCTAATTCAAACTTGAAAGTCTTGACTAGCCTCCCGTGGTTCAAGAGTAGGCCTTCTGTCCAACGCGACAAGGGTTCAGGCGACGAAGTCGGAAACCAGAGTTTCTGACAAATTTGATGAAGTCAGTTAAGTGTGAAGTGAAATCCATACACAAAACATTCATACCTGCCACATTCTAGGAAGACAGAGCCTATGATACTTTCGATTGACCACTGCCAGGCTTTGAAAGGTAGTGAGAGGCGGTAGTTGATTGGATACTCCTTCCTCCTGGCCCAGATTTTCGTCCCATGTTATTCTCTCATTTTTTCTTCTCCGCATAGTGCTGTCCTCTTTGGTAGAGTAAAGGTAAATGATGTTTACAATGTTGTCTAATATTTCTTCGGGAAGATCGACCCGATTCATGATACATTGAGTCGAAGGGGCCGATTGAAATCGATCAGTCAAGAATTGAAAGGCTTCTCCGGCAGACCCATCAATGTTAATAGCGTGTTGAAGTTCCTTGTCAATTGACCAGAATATGAGATTGAAAACTGCTTGGTTTAACCTCGGATCGTACTTGTTGAATTCGTGTTGTAGGTAGTCTGATGACCCAGAAAGGTTGCGTATCATGACTTTCAGCTCTCGTTCCCATAAGCTAAAGTTCTCGCCGGTCCTCTTTAGCTGGGTCAAATCCTTTGCAATACTAGGAATTCTGCATAACACCTCAATGCTACAAGCCTCACTTGCGATCCCAGATGTGCAACGTGTGCACAAAGCTTGAGTCTTGCAACGTGTGCACAAAGAAGTCTTCATATTGAGCATCTTAACTGTGTCTTCAACCTCCAATCGATGTAGGACGAGGATGAGTTGCGATGAAACGCGAGGATGAGAATGAATGAGAGAGATGCATCTACGTGCATGGGAGCACCGAAGAATCGGGGGAAATAAAATGAGAATGGCCAAGGTTTATGCAAACCTTTAAGCCTTACCTGCCCGTTAAGAGCATCCACTATGGGTGCGTTAACGATGTGATTTGGGAGGCTGTATGTCCGAAATCTTGGTGATACACCTTTTGCTTTAGAAGATGCAGACATTTCACAGGCTCAGCATTCCACGGGGCAGCCCCTTGTTTCATGGAAATTTTTCATCACCTTTTTTTTTGTGTATCATACCCCACCACCCCAAAGGCAAGATGCACAATACCTTGTTTACCTTACTCAGCGATTTACGAGCACTACTTGCCTTGCAAAAAAGCCGACATGGTGGTCCCAACACTCCTGAACGCCTCGTACTTGATGGTCGACCCTCACCCCTACGCTCAGCTACCAATACCTCGACTCAATGGCCTGGTGGGACTTCGGTGTCCCAAGTGCTTCACCGCGATGGTTTACAAGCGGGCAAATCAAGATTCGTGGCTCATCGGTGTAAGCCTCCTTCAAAGATCATTTCGCCATAATCCTACACGCGCCACTAATCCCATGCACCTCCTCGTATCCTTCCCTGATACAGTGCCCCACGCCTTCCAATTCACATAATTGGAAAACTTGGCGATGTGACCAACTAAACCACGAGATTGCCCTCATCAATCTTGGCGAGCCCAGGCCGATCGTCTCAACACCGGAAGATTGGGGCCCCCGTGTCTCTCCCTTTGGTGAGATCCTGGAGCCCGAGTTGCCCCCCGCGCCCAAGCAGGCATATCATCCCTATGCCAGTCCTCGCACTGCGTCTTATTCTCCCACCCTGGCTCAACGCGCTAAAACCAACTTACAGTGCAAAAGGTTTTTTGAAGGTGTGACGTCCCAGAATCACAAAAAAACCGCGAACAAGGAATGTCCCTCGCAGTTCTGTCGCGGTGTAAATAAGATTCTCTTCGTTGATTATCTTACCATCATGAATCGTGCTGACATCGATGTCTTCTGAACTCAACACAGTGCTGCGTCGAGTTTGGGTCACCCGCTTGCCGTGTGCACCCACGCGTGTTGAAAAACCCTACACCTCAACGCCACTTCGAGCCAACAACCACGCATGAACACCCATCGCTCGCCACTACCTCCTCAGCCCAAAATTCCAGATCATCGAAGGCGCCTGCATCCCAAGCGCGTCCACATCAGTGGGCGCAAACTTCAAATTCCTTAGGCCGCCGGCTTGACGTTAATACTCATGCCATGATTCAGCAAAATCGGGCTCAGCGGGAACAAGAAGCAGCGCGCCAGGCCGTCAATATCATCGATCAGCGCAAGATGGTAACGATCTACCTATGGGTTGATGTAAGTTTGAATTCGCATTCGTTTCTCCTACTCTCAGATCTCAATTGTCTTATCGAGATTCGAATGCTGGTACAGGAACTCGAATCTCGCCCAATCACTGCAATGTTTCCGCAATGGCCAACCGCCTGCCTCAACCAGAGTCCTCTTTTGGTCCAGGCCGTCGTCAAAGCTGTTGGACCCCAATGGAATCAGGCGCTGACGGTCTGGGACACTGAGCTATACGCATGGGTTAGTACATTTCTTTCTTCAAGCATGGTCCTGGGGGACGCCGGACCTTCCTTTGAAACTGACTTGGTCACGATGTTGGGCGCAGCGTGAAACTCTCGTCAATTATCCCCACCGCTACCAGACTAACCATCGCAGCCTGGTGGTGCGTCTTGAAAACGTCAAGGTTCCCATGTCGGCTATTCCATCGTCCTTGCGACCACCTAAAGACGAGAGTTCCATTCCCCCACTTGATGCTTTCTGGTCGAATTCAGAACTTCCCCCTATCTGTGATATGCCCTCGACGCCCCCCCAGGGCCTTGAAATCCAAGGAACGATGGAATCCGTAGAGTCAAAAGGCTCATCGCCATCGAATCCCTCAATCAAACTCGAAGCTGGACTTGATGAGATAGAGCCGTCCACCTCATCATCACCAGTGAGATCTTCAATCATTATTGATTTATTGGAGTCACCCGCCCCACCTGCATCGAGTCAATTTGAGCAACTCGAGGCCCCCACAGTGTAAGTTTTCAGCTTTCCCATTTATGTAGCGAGTTGTTGATCCCAACGTGTTCTAGGCCAAGCGCCCTCAAAAAGCGTTGGCCAGGTTCCACAGTGCTTGTGAGCAGCCTGCTTGCATGGTACAAGGACACTTTGAAAGGGAATTTGCAGCAAAAATGGACTGAACATTTTGGTGCTGAGTGGCGCTTGTGCATTTCCACTGTCTATCGATATCACCTTTGGATTGGCGCAGTGGAGTGCCATATTATGGAGGCAAAGTTTCGCTCTCAACCACAAGCAACCGTGGGTGAAGCTCGCAACGTCTACCAAAAGGAATTCAAGAAAGTGGCCAGTCTCAGCACCGCCGCACCCAAGCCAGCGCCACGGTAATCATATGTTCTGGTATGTCGTCAACTGTCCATTTTGGCAACACAAGATGCATTCCTGACTCGTTCATCTGTCACCAGGCATCACCTCTGGTTGTAGAGGGTGTTTGAACACCCCCTTCCCGTTAGCTTCCTGTAACATCTTCTCTTTGGTTGTGGGATTTGTGGTTAAAGGGTGCAGGGTGTTAGGTTGTTTGGTCGCGGGCTTGGTGAAATGCATGGCATATTCTATGCGTTCATATGGTGATTGCGTGTTCCACCATCGGTCGCCGCGGCATTGTAAAATAATCAACCTAAATGCCTTGCCTAACTGATGTACAAAAGCGCGATTATGACACCCCCCAATACTATCCTCACCCCATTCGATTTTTGTTTTTTTCCATTTTGCACACCATGCCATCAAAGATGGTCACGATTCCGAACAACATTCCAATCGGTGACACTCCCATGCATCTTCTGGACTATGCCCATTCACCACATCTGACCGACAATCTAACCGAACATTTGAAGCGAGTGCTTAAGCGTCAGTACTTCTGTCTCTCCCTAGAGCGGCCTCTCGTTGACTTACACGGAACTGTATGAATGTTTCTTCTCCATGCCATCAGGTCGCTTCCTGTCGTCCCCTCCTCTAGGGGTGACCCCTCGGCCAGGCGTCTTCGGTGGTGCGATGTCATCATGATTTCCCCTAACCCACCGCACTAACACTTACTAGATCTCCTCCTTTCCCCCCCATATAGTTCCCGTGCTTCCCCCGAGATTCGCGACCGAGAAACTACGCAGTGCACTTGGAACGAGATCACTGGCTTTGCCAATGATACCCAAAAAAACCAACGCGATTGTTACCCTGCTTCAAACTGATGACATCCCACCGTTCCATTTCAATCCTAGCCATGTCAAGGCCACCATCGGTCCAACGGTCGTCAATGCTTGGGACTACTCGATTGTCACAGCACAGGTGGCTGGGCCTGTGGGCATCCATGACATCGAATTACGTGAATTGTCCCCCGATCATGATTTGACATCAGCGGAATCCGCCGGGCGATACCAGCTCATCGTTCAGCAGGATTGGTACGCTGCTGCCCTTTTGGAAAGTTTCAAGCAGAAGATGAGGAAGCACACTCCTGCCCTAACTGTTCCTGAGGCCCAACTGGTGGCGAATACCCGAGTTAGTACTGTCATTGCTCATGTGTGCCCACGTCGTTCTGATATTTCAATGCTGTTCAGTTCATTGAAACCCATGTCTTGTGGCGACGTGCCACACAGACATCCCATGATAAACATTACTTGTTGCAAGAGCCGATCGACAGCTCCCACATGCCCACCGTGACTTCCACTACCTGCTTCGAACCACCTGAACACGAGGGCGCAAGCTCCATGGTGGATTTTTTGTACGCGTTCACTCACTTTACTTATGAACATCACGATCGCCGCGCTCTGCTTTACGGATTCCAAGCCTCTGGAAACACAATATATGCATCAAATATACTCGATCGAGAGTGAGTACAGTCAATTCCTTTGCCCTCTGAGTGTGAGTTTGATCACTCATGCATGGTGATTTTTAAGTTTTAAATGGCATGCAGATCGGACATCGACCCCCCTCAAGTACTTTGCAGAAGAACACATATGTCATAGTTTGTGCCAAAGACTCGGGCTCAAAGCACCTGTCAAACCCTGGTAACATTCTTCTGACTCCTTTCACGTGGAACCAGACTGATCTGGGTGACCTTTGGATTCAAATAACTATCTGTACAGAAGATAGTGGATGCGATCATATGTTCCATTGTGTTATACGAGACCGTT